CTACACAGTTAATTTAACAGCTGGATTATGTGTCACTGATTGTTTAGGTATGCCATAATTTACTTAGGAGAATGCTTATCATTGGACATTATCTCATTTGTAATTGTCATGAATAATTTTTGTAACTGTTCACATAATTTTTTTTTTTGAGAAGTTTTTTCTATAGAGTGCGTGTGCACGCCAGAAAGACAGAAACAGAGAGACAGAAAGCGAGAAATCATCCCCCAGGAGGATGGCCACACCACAATCCCTTCTCCACTCTCCTCTCGAGATCATTGGGCACGCACGCACACGTGCCTCATATGAGTTTAAGCCACCGGGTCCGAGACTCGAACCGCAGTCAACTACATGGGAGGCCAGCAACATAGCCATTATGCTAACTGCTGGTCCCACTGTTTACATATTATTGTCCATATTTTGTCCCTATAAATTTAGAAAATTATCAGACATGGAATTACATAGTTAAAAGCATATCTGACTTGTATAATTAACATGGATTTATTTTGGGATCAAATGCTAAATTCACATCGATTTCAAATATAAAACCCTAGACATAGATTATATCAAGAAGTATGAGTTGACTAATTTCTCCTGTTGGGAGAACTAACGTGGAAAGTTAATAAAAACTGATTTATTATTGCGTTTCTTCTCTATTTTCAGTTGGTACTGCCTTAAATCAATTTTATTTCTCTTACTTGGATTTTTTTTTTAAAGAATTATTTGATTTAACTTTATTTATTTTAATTTGACCAGAGAGGGACAGAGAGAGAGAGAGGAAAATGAGAAAGCAAGCTGCCAGGTACAGGACTCGAACAGTGGTCAGCCATGTGAGAGTCCAGGCCCTTAACTGGTATTGTTTTTACACCTTTCAACCTGATTTTTAAAAAAGAATTATTTATTTATTTAATTCAATTTGTTATTGAGACAAAGAGAAAGGGTGAGAAAGCAAACTGCTAGGTTTGGGACTCGAACTGCAGTCAGTCATGTGGGAGTAACACCTCAGCCACCATGCCAGCTGCTGTCAACCTGATTTGAAAACTTTTTACATTTGCTAGAAGGCACTTGCGATTATGGGGGGATGGGAAGGGGATTGAGTTCTTGGGTCTAATTTCTCCTGTCCTTGCTTTCCCTCGCTTTTTTTTTGATTGCCAGAGGGTACGTATGCTTGTCAGAAAGAGACAGAGATGGCGAGGGGGGCACCCATGGGGCGTGGTTCCTCCCAATATCTTCTCCTTTCTCTCTCCATCTGCCCGGCTTTACGACACAGGCGCACACGCAGCTGGTGTGATGGTTGAGCTAATTTCTAGAATTCCAAGTGTGTGTCAAAAGCCCAACTAATCACAGTTTCTGAGGCTATGTTAGTAAATTTTCTTCGACTGCATTGCTACTGCCAGATTCCCTTGGTATAATAAACCGATTTTGGGTTCCCGTGTTTAATACCTTCATATCATAGAGGGAAAAAAAACCTGCTAAAAGGATGGTCTGCCTCCTTCTTCAGGTAGTCCTGTGGTGGGCTGCTTTGTTCGGCCTCCGAAGTGATCAATTACATCGGGAGGCCATTGTCCTGCAGAAAGCCAGGGAGGACATGCGTAACTGGCTTCAGATTCTTCTAGCTTTCCCAAGGACAGGGCGGGTTCTTCCCCAACCCGAAGTTGACAGGAGGCCAGAGAGTTCTTACACAGCCTTTTTAGGGGAGAAGGGCAGGAGAATGTGAGAATGACTTCCTGCTTCTGTTCCTCAAATATAAAGATGTTGTATTTTGGGGTAGCAGGTCCCGAACCCCATCACATGGAAAAGTGGAAAACGGGTAAAACATAGATTCTGCTGTCAAGTAGTTGCGGGACCATGTTTGATACTGTTATCCACAGCAGGATTTTGATGGCAAAAGATGGAATGTAGGGGCCAGCAGGTGGTGTGGTGGTTAAGGCACTGGAATTCCTACATGGCCGACCATGGTTTGAGTCCTGGATCTGGCGGCTTGCTTTCTACTCTTCTTCTGTCTCTCTCTGTGTCTTTCTCTGATAAAACTAATGTAAAATAAATAAATAAATCTTGGAAAAAAATAAAGTATACAATTAAAAAAAAAAAACAGATGAGGATATAGTTAGGGAATTTTAGCCAAGTGAAAATGCAGAGAAAACTTAGGAAATAGAAGATAGAAATTGAGGGAACCAGAAGTTAGCATAATGGCTATGTCGCTGGACTCCCACGTAGTCGACCGCGGTTCGTGTCCCGGACCCGGTGGCTTAAAACTCACGCTGGGTGCGTGTGCGTGCGTGCCCAAGATCCCGAGAGGAGAATGGAGAAGGGATTGCGGCGTGACCATGCCCCGTGGGGGGTGATTTCTCGCTTTCTGTCTCTATGTCTCTCTCTGTCTGGCGAGCGCACGCGCACTACAGTGAAAAATCTCTCCAAAAAAAACACTGGGCGAGCATGCGCATGTGTGTGTGTGTGTGTGTGTGTGTGTGTGTGTGCGCCTAAAATCCCAAGAAGAGAAATGGAGGAAAAGGGATTGTGTTGACACCATCCCCTATGGGGGCGTGGCTTTCTCACTTCTTTCTCTCTGTGTCTCTCTGGTGATTGTACATGCTTTCTGGCAAATTTCTTTAAAAATTACTTATTTAATTAGTTTTATTTGTTATTATTGTTCTCCTTATTATTATTATTAAAAATTTAACCAAAGAGAGGGGCCAGCAGGTGGCATAGTGGTTAAGGGCACTGGACTCCCACAGAACTGACTGCAGTTCGAATCCCAGACCTGGCAGCTTGCTTTCTCACTTTCCCTTTCTCTCTCTCTCTCACTCTGTCCTTCTTTGGTCAAATTAAAATAAATAAATAAATAAAGTTAAATAAAATAAGTCTTTAAAAAAAAATTTAACCAGAGAGAGACTGTCATGCCACCCGCTGGCCCCTTGGCAAATTTTTTTTTTTTTTTTTAAGAAAACACGGGGGAGCTGGTCGTGTCGCCTAGTCGTTAAGGGGGTCAGATCCCACATGGCTGACTGCAGTTCAGTTCAGCCTCAGTGGCTTCAAACACACATGGGGCACATGAAAGCTCACGCCTAAATTCCTGAGAGGAGAAATGGAGGAGAAGGGATTGTGGCATGACCATGCCCCACTGAAAGGTGCTTTCTTCCTCTCTGTCTCTCGGGACGAAGTCTCAGTAGGAATTCTAGCAGAAAACAGGACCACCTTAACTACCGCCCGCGTCCCTCTGTGGGCACATGGCTCTGGATGAGCTTCCTCCTGCCAGGACCATGAACAAGGCACCTGGTCCTACAGGTCTGCGGTCAGAAGCACACAGGGGTCTCCCTGGGCTAAAACCAAGCTGTTATGGAGGAGCACTCCTGCGGCACTGAAGGAGAGTCCAATTCCTTGTCCTTTCGAGCGTCTAGAGGCTTTCCTCATTCCTCGGCTCATAGCCCCCTTGGAGCCAGCACTACCTCACTTGGGGCGCCGCTCCTCTGCACAGCTGCTTCTCTGATTCTGACTCCAGCACTCCTGCCTCCCTCTTGTGAGTACCTTGTGGTTCAGGTTGGTCACGCAGATAAACCAGGACAATCTCCAACCCAGGAAACTTCACTCCATCATGTCTGCAAAGGCCTTTTTTTTTTTCCTTTCTTTTTTTTCTTTTTCTTCTTTTGGAGAGATTTTTGATATAGGGCACGTGCACTCTTCAAAAAGAGAGACAGAAAGCAAGAAATCACCCCCTGGGGGAATGGTCACACCTCAATCCCTTCTCCTCCATTCTCTCAGGATCTTAGGCATGCATGCACACGTGCCTGGCGTGAGTTTAAGCCACCGGGTCTGGGACTCGAACTGCGGTTGACTACATAGGAGTCCAGTGACATAGCCATTATGCCAACTGCTGGTCCTTTTTTCCTTTCTCTCTTCTTTCTTTCTTTCTTTTTTTTCTTTCTCTCTCTTTCTTTCTTTCTTCTTTGTTTCTTTCTCTTTCCTTCTTTATAATTTGATCAGAGAAGGACAGAGAGAAAAAGAGAGAGAAAGCAAGCCACCAGGTCCAGGACTCAAACCATGGTCTGCCGTGGGAGACTCCAGCACTCTTAATGACCATGCCATCTGCCAGCCCCTGCAAAGGCCTTTTTGCCATTAAGGTAACATTCTTACAGATTCCAGGGATTCAGACAGGCTATCTTTCTTCTTTATAATTTGATCAGAGAAGGACAGAGAGAAAAAGAGAGAGAAAGCAAGCCACCAGGTCCAGGACTCAAACCATGGTCTGCCGTGGGAGACTCCAGCACTCTTAATGACCATGCCATCTGCCAGCCCCTGCAAAGGCCTTTTTGCCATTAAGGTAACATTCTTACAGATTCCAGGGATTCAGACAGGCTATCTTTGGGGTCAGCAGATGGCGTGGTGGTTAAGGCACTGGACTTCCACATGGTTGAGTGTGGTTTGAGTCCCAGACCTGGCAGTTTGCTTTCTCACTTTTCCTCTCTGGCTCTCTCTAGTCAAATTTTAAAGTAGTAATAATAATATGGGAACAGCAGGTGGTGTGGTGGTTAAGGCACTGGACACTCCCACATGGCTGACCAAGGTCTGAGACCCCGCTGGCTAGCGGCTTGCTTTCTCGCTTTCCTCTCTCTCTCTGTGTCTTTCTTTCTCTGGTCAAATTAAAATAAATGAATGAATAAAGTAATTT